GAGGAACAAATGATCAAAATAGAGATAAGATAATTTGACATTAATTTTCACTAATGAGGTCATTCTTGTTTGGAGGGGAGATGAAAATAATTTGATTGAATGAAAACCTTATTATGATTCTCTTATTAAGCTTATATCTTTTATGTTTTGGAGTTTGAAATATATTAAAATAATCAAAGTTGTGTGAGCATAAGGGATCATATCATTTCGTATTAGAGAAGATGGCATCCCAACTTTTTGAGCTTGATGTGACTTAGTCATTGTATAATAAATCATATAAATTTAAAATTTATAAAACTATTAAATATTATTTTTGAATTTAAAAAATATTATAAAATAAATAAATTATTTATAATTAGATATGAGGTTTCAAAAATAATGAGGAATTTTCAAGTCAATCACATAGATTTAATGTAATATCAAGTAATATTTTAAAACTTTCTACCAAGAATACAATTTGTTATACTTTTTAGACTAAATAATAAACATAAAACATATTTAAAATTTGTGAAAATATAAATAAAGGTGCAGACATCATGATGATGTCATGGCTTGACAAACACAAATTGAACGGAAATAGAATTTTATCTAGTAATTCTTTCATAAGTGATCACAAATGATTAATTAATCAAATTAAGTTCTATAAAAGTTAAAATAATTATAATTGAATAAATAAGTTTCAAAATTTGAAATCACACAAAGTATTACTAAATTAAGTAAAAGTTAAGTTAAAAGTAGGAAAGACAATATTTCGACCTCGTGACAACGATTGTTGAAATTATATATATTCAAGAGGATTATCAAATGATGTCCACAACCTTAAAGTATGTCCTTAAACATGAACAATTTGGATAGTATCTAGATCTCTTTTTGAAGTCTAGAAATTAATGGTGAAAGTTAAATAAGTTAAAAATAGTAAAATAGAGTTTTAATATCACAATAGTAATGCGTTGAAATCTCAAGCATTTGGGAGGACTATAATTCAATGTCTACGATGTCAAAGGTTCTCATTGGACATGGACGATGTGAAATTTTTTTAGATCTTCTTGCGAAGTCTAGAAATTGATGAGATGAGTCGACAAATTATCTATGACAACTATCATCTAGTACAATAAAAAAATAATGACTTTATAAATTTTCAATTACTATCCTTTGTAAAAATAAGTTGAATAAAGGTGGAGCATATCTTATAGAGCCTAATCCTCATATCTGTACATTAAGATGAGGCTCTTCATCACATCTAGTACACCTAGGAGATGGTGACTCCTTTTTCTGTAGACCATCCTTTTTCTAATGATGACTTGCTCATTGATTAATTGAAGATAATTTACTTAGTAAATTTTTGATCATTTTATCTAAGGTAACGATGCTTCGTGAATTACTTTGATAAAAATTTTGTCGATAATTGAGTGATTATGATGGATTAATCATTGATCAACACTTTGTAGAAAAATCGTGATTTAATTAAATAAAAATATAAGTTTTGATTATGATGAGATTTGAACCCTTGTTAGTTGTCTACTTATATGAGAGATAATAAAATTAGTACGCAAATACCCTTATGATGACATCATATGGGTATCTATTTCTCACAAATCAGAGGTATTGTAAGTATTACAAATTATTGAAAACTTTTTCTATGAAGTTCTGAGTGGGTTTAGTCCCACATTACAAATTCTGAGTTTTTGAGTCACAAATCAAACTAATATGTAGTATTATGAGATTATATAATCAATAACTCCCTCTCTCACATTGTCTCACGCTCGACTAGCCACTAGTGACATGGAAAAGGAGTGACCCACACTTGTCTATATTTTTATTTTATTTTATTTATCTTGAAAAGAAGATTATTAAAATTATATAATTGACATAAAATCACATAATTAATCAAAATTGACATTAACCAACTAAAAATATTAAATAATTATTAATTTATGATAATGAAGACTTATCAAAACACTATCAAGTTCTAAAAAAAATGACTAAATGGTCTACTATTTGGTAGTACTAAACATCTTTTAAATTCACTATGTCATGTATTCTTTATCTCATAAATGAAATGAGATCTAGGAGTCAATGAATCATGCCAACTACTACTTATCACCTTTTACGAGGAGCTGAACTAAGCTATCAACCTATAGAAGATCTTAGCTACTCCTCACAAGGTATCGAAATACTTGTCTAGTGACACCACCTACCAACAATGGAAGTTTCATGACAAGTGGCAACAACACCAACAACAATAGAGAGTAATGAAGATAAGGTGAATTTTACAAAGGAGAGTAATGTTAGGCCCCCAATGAGCCTAATCGACTCCAACCATAAGAAAAGGGACCCATCACTCTAGCCACCATGATAGCAAAAGACCAAAGAACCCCAAAAAGTAGAAGATATAATAATTAGATAGAATGGTAAATGAGTCTTTATGATATAATGAGGTTAGGGTATTAGGTTTGAAAAAGAGGAACATAGGGGACATCAAGAAGTTATTAAAGGGCAACAATGGTTGAGGGAGAGCAGGGGGTCTCTTGAACATCCCCACTAATGTAATAGGGTTCTTCAAGTTAGATATTATAATTATTTATCTTTTATTCTAGAGTTGTTTTTCCAAATAATTTGAACATCTCCATCTTGAAGGTGTCATTATCAAATAAAGTTTTAGACACTAAATGATCATAAAATTGAGGAAGAGATGAGAAAAGAAGAATAAATGGATTTTCTATTTCCACCTTAAACTCCAAACTACAAAGCTGCAAAATCAGCATAAAGAAAATATTTATACTTTGTAATAGTTTACTCATATGTATGCAATACAATTTCTTTTCCAAATATAAATTACAACTTTGACATATATAATATTCTTAATTTATTTCATAAATTAGTACCAATTTATATATTAGTAACATGATACAACACACCATTAAATACACAATTTTATCCTATTAACTACTTTCAAATCTACCTAATATTAATGGTCATTACTTATTTTATTTTCTCAACTACAAAGAGCAAACACTCTCTTTTGTCATAAGCTAAAATCAATTTTTTCATCAAATTTCATAACTTCAAAATTTTCCACTGACATCTTTACGAAAACTAAACTTCATTAGAGCATTGCTAGCTTGGCTTATATATATATATATATATATATATATATATATATATATATCAGATGTTCTGATGAGTAGTTTTGAAAAATAGAGTTAAAAGAATGTCCAAAATATCAAAAGTTGGATCTCATGTATCAAATGTAGTTATTTAAATAACCAAAACATAATTCAAGGATAATAAATGTTAATGTATCAAATGTATATTTCCCTTATAAGAACAGGTATATTTAAAGAGTCATAAGTAAACAATTACTATAAAGATCAAGTAATGGCAAAGCTGAATAACCTTATAACAATATTTAATAAGTGACGTTATTTGTGTGATTTTGAAAAAAACCTTCTATGTCGAAACCACGACGAATAGAGGCCTAGGTGGATAAATAAATGAAGGGGAATGTTTATCTCAGATCTCCCTCTTCCAAAAACTTAGGATAACAACATTTTTTCTTCTTGAAGCAAATTAAAATCACCTAATGAGATGGAGGAGAAAGTATTACCCTTTTTATTCTCTCCAAGCTAAATCTATAGCATGTAGCTGCTGCCTCTTTCCTCATGTCGTCCTTTCCTTTTTCTTACAATAATCCAACCCCTTAAAAGGAGGGGGAAAAAACACTTTCCCTTTTCTGCTTCTGGGCCGTTCTTACTTGCCCACTAGTCCAGGCAATCAACGAATCTAGCTGTGCATAATCATGGCCACAACTTCGCTTGGCCCCCCCTCTTCTAAGTTCTTCTTGCCCACTTTGGGCAAGAAGATGAGAGCCGCCGTCTCCACACAAATCTAGCCGGCAGCTTTCTAAGTGTAACAGGTGTCAAGTTTTTTCCCACGTGTCGACAACGCATCATGAGCTCCTAAGTATATTTTTTCTTTTTCCATTTATGAGAGTAGAGGCCTAGAGAGAGAAACTGGGGGAGCACACAATCGAACAACAGGCGTTAAGTTTCTCCCACATCACAGTAAAGCTTTAGCAGGATGTTCAACGCAGGAAGCACTCGTAAGATGCAGCAGCCGAACACCAAAAAAGCTCTCACATCCCACAAAACGTAGAAGCCCCTACAAAGCGAGACGGCATCTAGAGAGAGAAGGGCAGAGGAGAGCGAACACTAAGTTTCTCTTACATCCCAGTGAACAATCACACCACAAGGGCTTGCAAACAGAGACTTGGCTGATGAAGGAAGAAGGATAGTGAGAGAACATCTTACAAGGCAAGACAACATCTAGAGAGAGGAGAGAGAACAGAGAGAGCATAACGCAAGAAGCACACACAGATGTACCCATCTCCTGGGAAAGCAGTAGCAGCTACTAAGTTTCTCTCACATCCCACTGAACATCTACACCCTCAAGGTCTTGTAAATAGAGACTTGGCTGATGGAAGCACAGAACAGAGAGAGAAAGAACCTCCGCCCTACCCCCCCCCCCCATCATCCACAAACACAAGAGGAAAGAGGAAAAGAACTACGGCGACTGGCTACATCCTGCTCTCATAGCAGAGATTCAATACCTTGCCAGGAGCTTGAAGCATTCCGATCCCACACCCAGCTTTCAAGAGGGGTTTTGTAGGCCCTGATTAAGTAAGAAGGTGGAAATCCCTCCTTGAATGGGCGTCTCTGCTTCATCAGGTGATGAAATGAGAGCCCCAGCCGCTTCTGTGCAGCAACAACACCAACAAAAAAGACAAGAAGAAGAAGGAAAAAGAGTAAAAAAAATTAACAGAGATGAAGCAGAGGACTCGATGAATGAACATGGAGAAAGAAGAATACGGCCTGAATTCTGCAAGTTGACTTACTGTTTCTTGAAGAACTACTTGGCGGACATGGAGCGCCACCGGCAGTGGTCACGAGGCTGGTGGCGACGCTAGCCCAGCCCAGCACTGGCAAAGATTTCGGTGATTGCTAGTCGGAGTCCTCATAGACTTCTTCATCATCAGATGGCTCGTCGAGGGACCGCATGTCAAGCTGGTAGCGGAGCATCCCGCCAATACCACCAAAGCCCCTGCAGAACTGAGAGCCCTCCTGGGACTTGTTGGTGACAAACTCGAGCATGCAGCCAAACCTCTTGTACTCATTGGCGAACCACTCGAGCAGGGAGACCTTCTCCTGCACCTCCAGCTCAGCAGCTGTGGCAGCATCCCGGAAGTTACTCTGGTCCGCCTCCTGTTCCTTGCCCAGATGCTTTATGACATTCTCCCCAGTGGCAGCATTCTTCAACACGTACCTGTTGATCTCGAGGTTCTCCCATACGATGAGGGTCTCCACAGCACCCATCTCAAGGGCCTTCAAGGTGTCCTCCACACCAAAGACGTACTTCCCCGTGTCCTGGCTGATCTCCTCAAAGTACTTGCCAATAAGCCGCTTCTCCTGGATGAACTTGACGTTAGAGAGGATCTCTGCAGACAGCTCAATGGCCTGGTTGAAGCCGTTCTCCCCGCCATAGGAGACATCTACCACATTCAGGATCTTGGCCTGCAGACGGGGGTCAAACATGTCAGACTGGCTCAGCTCTGTCTTGAAGTCGGCCGAGCCAGCAAGGATGAGCCCAGCAACATTCGGCTGGCTGGTGGCCGGATTGATGAAGAACTGTGTGGCCAGCTCTGCTGTCTTGCGCACGTAGTTGTGCCGCTTCTCCATGCGGAGCCGAGCAAACCGCAGGGCTGACTGCCCTCCCCTGCCGTGCTTCTTTGGGAGGTCGACTGTGAACTTGTGGAGGACTTCCCGAGTGTTGCCACTCAGGGTGCCAAAGAGGGTCCCATTGCCGTCCATGACTATGAAGCCAAACTTGTCATCAGACTCCAAGAGCTCATTCAGGGCCTCCGTGTGGAACTTGTTGTCACAGAGGTAGAGGGAGGCATTGATTGGCTTGAAGGGCTCGAAGTCTATGGTCACCTTCTTCTCTTTGCCATCATCTGTCACAATAGTGCCTGTGTAGAGGACCAAGCCATTGGGGGGCACCTTGTTATAGAGCTTCAGCCGCTGCTGGGCGGAGGTGATGGCAGCCAGCACTGACTGGCGGTTGACCCGACTCTTGATGTTTGAGGCAGTCCCGTACTCATCACCGAGCATCTTGGTCACACGAGAAATCTGGTCCCGGGGCGGCATGATAAGGGAGATCATGCTTGTTCCATTCCCCCGGGCAGACTCCAGCGCCTTAATCAGCTTCTTGATCTTCCATATCTCGATGTTCTTGTCGGTTTCATGTCCATCAGCCATCTTCAAATACTTGGATTAAGTTAGACAAGAGCACCAGGTAACCTGCAGAGGGAATTATAATTATCAAGATACTGGTGCGAAAAATAAAGGAAGGTTCATGAGAATTATGAATAGGGAAGAGCCCAAATCAAGTTGATTATAGAGAATCCACCAACAGAGGTAATAGTTCAGAAGAACTATCGTTGATTACATTGAAGATAGCGAAGGGAAGAAAATAAATATCATTCGCATAGATTAAGGACAAATGAATATCGTCAAGGATCCAATGAACTGGTACCAAAAACGAACAATTATTTGCACACATAGCTCATCACAGAGAGATTTCAAGCGGACTTCTACCGAAACAGCCTTTTCCTATTATATGTGGCTTCAACAATTGGACAACCAAGACAGGCCGTTAATCATTTCCTGATGTGAAAATCTCAAATCAGTGTTTAGAGTATAAAATATTAAAGCAGGCCTTGTTTAGCAGTAATGTCCCAAATTTTCCCTAAAGGTTTCATTATCAGTCCCCATTAAATGGATCTTCACTTCACTTGACTTGCAAAGATAAGTCTTGTCCCTCTTGGAAAAAACGATGTTCAAACACTGTCGTCCCTCTATATTCAACATTCCAGCAGAAAGAACATATGAGAGTAACGAAATCATCCATTAACCAGGGAATATACATCGAGAAATAGGACTCACGTTCCGAAACCACAGGAGTTCGAGAGTGTAGCCGCCCTTTGCGAAAATCGAGTCAAAATAAGTATTTACAAAGCATTTCACGGTAACAAAATGAAAAAAATACTGAATCGTGTCAGAAGATGCCCCCTCTGATGTTCAACCTAATCGGAAAAAAAGCAAGGACGTTTAAAAGTATTCTGCACTAAAAAAGATATGAGCCCTAGGACGTGCCAGCGGAGAGCAAGCTTCTCTGTCAGATCTCCAGAATAGGCGAAGAAGTACCCCAAGAACAACCTCTTGACAAAAAGATCCGCAAAAAAAACCGAGGTTCAATAATAAAACCACAAAACGATAATCGAATTATGAACAATAGATCCGTTACAAAAGACCAAAAACTACGCCAGATCTCTAAGATACTACGGCAGATAATACCGCCTCCCTGAACAGCCATGACGCCGGTCATAAAAACTTTCAAAAGAGCGCATCAGAGAGGAGTACCTGAATAGCCACGCGAGGTTGAAATTCTCCGGCTGAGGTGGAACTGACGAAGATCCGCCGCAGCCTCAGACCCCGATTATGCTCCCTCCTCGCTGCTAGGGCTTCAAGACCTACCTACGTGTCCCCAGCGAGATGGCGGGCGCTCCTGTGGGCGAGTCGAGCGGATTTGGGTGAGAAAAGAACACCCGGGGGCCACAGGAGACGAAGGCGGCGGTGAGGAGGCGAGGGGTAGGGGTGGTGACAGTTTATATAGTGGTCTGAAATTTACATTTATACCCCCAAAAACTTCTAGAGTTTCTATGTAACGTCAAAGTTTTTTTAATTAATATTTTCTCACAAGACCGGTCTTTCTTTATATCAACAGAGGTTTTTATTTTCCTCCGTCGTTCTTACCCAAATTCCTCCCTATTTACATCCATGCCATTCCCCTCCTTGAAAGTATCCAACTTCCAATCGCATTTTAAAAATCGACAGCCAAATAATTATCCCTCATAATTTAATTGCACATATACTCCCAATATATTCATGAAAAATAACCATAAATAGCAACACAAGCTACTATCACTTCTACTATCACTACTTGTTGGACGACCCTTCTTTATCATTGAATGCTAAGAACAATGATGAATGAAGTATGAGAAGTGGGCGTTGACTTTTTAAATAGCTCATATTTAGATGCTAATAAAAATAGATGATTGGTGGTCAAAAGTAAAAATTCTGTTTTGGGGATCAAAGGAGAATGTGGGACTATTTTTTTGTGGTGAATTTTTGAAAAGGCATATGAAAATTATAGGAGTCTTAGAGTGGTGTTTGAGAGTAACCCTCATTGGCTGCTTGAAAAGGGCCGATTTTTCTGGGTATTTCAGGCTTACTCCCCCAAAAATAAGGAAACCCAAAACAAGTAATACCAGTTGACTTTTGGGCATTTCCTCTGCACTTTGCCCAGTTGAGTTACATTGTTTGTGCATGTTTAGCAGTGCATGATCCTGCCCACAACTTCACTTAACCTCCTCCCTCTTTTCTAAGTTCCAGTTAGACCCCCCAGTTTGGGCCGATGACCACTGCATCTAGGGAGAGAAGACGAGGAGCAAGTGGTTAGTACTTTGGACTTTGAATCTAGCGACTTGGGTTCGAATCCCGGTTGGACATCCTTCTCACACGCTGCTAATCTTTCATCCCGGCGTCAATTTTCTTCGTGATCTTGTTCTCCTCCCTCATATATGCCTATTGTTCTACCTCTAAGTTTAGTATAACATATACCCACCAAATAGCTTCCACTTCTTCCCCGGTTTACATTTCTAGTATTATACATTATACCCCGTTATTAATCAAATGGGCTTCTCCTGCGGCGGCGCCGCCGGGGGACCGCCGCTGCGTTGGTCGGAGGTAGATAGCTAGATAGAGGCGTTGACCTGAATCTTAAAGAAAAAGCAAGCAGAGTACTGTCTTCTTCGTGAGAGAATCCGAGTGACAGAGAGAGCGAGAATGGTAGCAGGCTAAGCGGAGGAGACGGGGGCGGCGAGGAAGGCGCGGCCGGGGAGGCGGTTAGCGAGTGGCCCGCGGCTTCCGAGTAGCTTGGCGTTGACCCCATCGGGGACGATGCGGCACTCCTCCTTCCACTTGAGATAATCGGTACGGCTGTACTTGGTGAAGCCCCACTTGCGGCTGACGATGATCTTCTGCCTGCCGGGGAACTTAAACTTGGCCCGGCGCAGCGCCTCCTGGGCGTTGCCGCCGTTGCCGTCCTTGCAGCGCACGGACATGAGCACCTGTCCGATGTCCACGCGCGCGCAGGTGCCTTGGGGCTTGCCGAAGGCACCGCGCATGCCGGTCTGGAGTCGGTCGGCGCCGGCGCAGGAGAGCATCTTGTTGATGCGGAGGACGTGGAAGGGGTGGACGCGGACGCGCAGGTGGAAGGCATCCTTGCCAGCGAACTTGGTCATGTACTTGTTGCAGGCGATGCGGGCAGCCTCCAGGGCCTCGCTGGTGACGTTCTCCTTCTCCCAGCTCACCAGGTGCACGCAGAAGGGGAACTCGTCCACTCCCTTCTTCTTCATCCCCACGTCATAGATCCGGATCTTCGGGTCAGGCACACCCCGGCAGTACCGCGATTTGGGGTACGGCTTGTTCTTGATCTGGCGATAGCACCGGGCCGGTCGGCGCCCCATCCTTCTTTCAATTATCTTCTCCCTGCAATGAAATCAATAAGAACATTAAAGGTACTAACTACTTTATTGATCCATCATCGGAGACTATATTATTAAGACAGCGAAGAGATAAAAAAAAGAGTAGACTGTTCTCCCTCAGAAAAGTAATTCTCAACAGAAAGATTATTCAGACAAGGCTGAAACTATTGGTCGTTGAAGAGTTCAATCACGGGGAGTAAGAGTTCGATACTGGGTTTTCATTATTGCTTCAAAAACGAAAAGAAAGCACAAAGGATCCTGAAGTAACAATTAACGAGCAAGACTGAGAAAAAAGAAAGATCAGAATATGTCTCAATGGCAAGAAACCAAAAAAAAAAAGAACCCGCGTACAAATAAAGCCTTAGCACATTTTTCTCTCTCGACTACTTTTATCTTGGTCTCTTCCGAACACAGTCCATAATTTTATAGAAATTAACTAACGCGGAACGAGAAAATAACCGGAAATTAATCGAAGATTACACAGACAACCATCCCTCAGTACTGAAAATATTCTCAATCATGGATAATGTCTGCCCACTACTTCTGTTGCTTTTCCAAACAACGGCATCATTGGGATGCAGACGGAAGATCAAAATTTCGCAGACACAAACGAGAGTGAGATACTTAAGCCTCGTCAAGATCAAAATCTCACGAAAATGAAAATGTTAGCAGATAGGAAGAAGTTTAACGGTGGATTTTCTCAGTTCAGGTCTCCATGAAGGTTCCGCACAGAGTTGTACTCCTAGGAAGAACGAAAGTTTTCATTTTCATCATCATCGAAGACCACCGTTTACCCATTGGAAATTAAAAACTATGCATTATAAATCTTACAAATCGATGAAACTTAAACGCGAATATAAAGTGGTAAATCTCCTCAGTTCAGGTCTCCAAAGGTTCCGCACGGAGCTGTGCTCCTAGGAAGAACGAAAGTTTTTTTTTTGCATCATCATCGAAGACCACCGGTCAACCACGGCAGTTAAAAACGTAAGCATAGTAAATCTTACAAAACTATGAAATCTAAAAGCGAAAAATAAAGAGGTGCGTCTCCTCAGTTCAGGTCTCCATAAAGGTTCCGCACGGAGCTGTACTCCTAGGAAGAACGAAAGTTTTCATTTGTATCGTCATCGAAGACCTCTCTCGACACCTCTAATCAGAAGAAGGATTCAACACGATAAATGCATCGGATCGATATTAACCAGAAGCGGTGCTAGAGTAAATCAACCTATTTCAGAACTCTGCACAGTTTTCGTCCGTAGTGAATCCCCATCGAAAGAACGAAGGAACACTTAGTCGTCCTCAGAAACCAAGGCTCATCCATCAAATCAAAAACATAAACTACAGAAAAAGGGAAACACGGATCGAAAGAGGCCGATCTCCTCGGTTCAGGTCTCCATGAGGCTCCGCACAGAGGAGGACCTCCTCGGAAGAACGAAAGTTATGCTGTGATCGCCATAGAAGACCCCCGACGAATCCAAAGAACAGGTAAGAGCAAGCGGCCATCACCTGCTCAGATCGCTACTTCGACCAGCTTCTCCCAGCCGCCAATCCTCAACTCTGAATGGGTACTTCGGCAATTTATAGGGGGCGCGTGAAAACCCTAGCCCTAGCTGTCGTGGCCACGACATCTTTAAACTGGGCCTCCATATCACAGACAGAGATACCCCTCCGCCGATGGGCCCAATGCTCATTTCACCGGCCCATTAAGGCATAATTTATTTATCATAAATATATATATGTAAATAATTTCGTGAATGGTATTTAAGAAAGCGTGGTCGTCGTCGGAGGTGGGGCCCACCGTTTTGAGAGGGTTCCCCTCTCGCGGGGGTACGTGAGAAGGTTAGACCTGTCCTGCTCGGTCTTCCGTCTTCTCGCCGGCGACAGGTCTGCCCTTCTCCGGCGCCGGCGACTTCTCCGGCGTCCCCGCCGCATCTCCGGCGAGATTGAGCACCGGCAGGGAGGCTCTGCCGCCGGCGAGCTTCCTCTGGATCCGTCTGCGGGGGCCCTCGACTCGCTGATTGCCGTCGGGTTATGAGGAGTTCGTTGACGCGGGCCGGGGGTTTCTCTTTGTTCTCTATCTGGTCCGTTCCATGGCGTACAGGAGGAAGAAGAGCAATCCGAGGTCGTCCACCTTGGAGGATTTTGCATCCACTGACGCTGTGGACGATTCGCTCGGAGGTCTCTCTCTCGCCGCGCAGGCCATTCGCGCCTCGTCCGCGCACCGCGACTCATCCCTCTCGTCCGCCTATGACGAATCAGCTATTTCATTGGCCTACAGGGATTCCGATCTTCAGATGTCGTCGTCCCAGCAGCGGGTGAGTCTGCCTCTTATCCATCTCCTTCAATCCGATCGCAGTGTTTGTTTTTTGTCCTGGGAATTCATTCGAATGAATAGCAACTTGGTCTGATAGGATGGAAATCACGTGCGTGTCTATTAATTCAATACACTTTTTCGATTTTCTTTTGTGTGATCGCTCCATTTATCTGGCAGTTTTTTTTATAACATCAAAGGAAGAAAATTAGTTGACCTGCCTTCTGTTTTTATTAATTGCGTGGAGTAGTTCACATTTAGGGAAAGTAATCGAGGGAGAGGTATTTAAATTGTTTATCAAGATAGCATTTAATCTATGGAGATACAATTAAAGTCAATATTTTAGTTTCCTTCAATGATGAATACTGAGTTTTTAATGATGATCTGGTAAATCTGCATTTTTCCATCACAGTCATGTTTTTATGGCTCATGAAATGTCGTTTCTTCTCAGGACTAAGACTTTTAAGATGGGAATGGTGTTAACTTTTTTTTTCCTCTTTTTCCTATGAAAATACTTTTATTTTGTCGTCTAGATTTATTGGGGAGGCATTTGGTGTGTTTTCAACGTTTCTCATCAATTTGTTAATGAATGCTCCTTTATTTTAGTTATTGTTTCACTGGTCCTTCCGAATTTCTCGTTTGTAAGTTTAAACCCTCCGAACATATTTCTTCATACCAGGTTGTATAGGTTATATCCTAATTACCTTCATCCGCTGCCATGACCAATGCCATCATTTATCTAACTGTTTTTAATTTTTCTCTCTCTTCCAGCATCCTCCCTTAAAGAATCTGTTTAGTATTATCCTGGTTTGGCAGTTATTACCAATTTTATTGAAAGATTATGTAGTATTTATGACGACTTTGCATGTTAACTTTTTAATGTATTACTTATGATCAAGGGTGCTGAGGAGGTTATGCAATTTAATAGATCCTCAGTGTGCTGAGGAGGATGCAAAGTTATGAAAGTGGGCAAGTTTTCTTAAGGAACTTAGGTGGTCTGGATATGGTTTAGGGGGTAATATGTGGTTGAACTTTTAAATCAAGTACTAACGTCAAAGTGCTGTAATATTGCACAGGTTATGTGATTTATAACAATACGACATAATTTATGCATATTTATTCATGTGCCTACCTTGTTAAAGAGACCTAAATACGAAAAATAAATCAGACAAGTAGACATATAACACCACACATTGTTATTGATATGATCAGCCTAATTAGAAATGTACAGGGGAAAATTAGCAAAAACCACAAAGTGAAAATTGTAGATTCCTTGACATGAGAAAATTACCCGTAGGATATATGCTGGGGAAACTGCTATGAAAAGCAAACGGATTTAAGCTTAACTGAGAGCCATTCGCCTCAGCTCAGTATTGCAGTTGGCAGGAAATGGGAAATTTCGTCAAGACTTTTTTAAATAAGAGGTAAATTCATACTGGAGAAAGAGAATGATTTAAGACTGGGAAATGTCCTGATTCACTGTCTTCTCAGAAGGTTTAGAGAGTCTACAGATGTGTTGCTGGTGGTCCTGGAAATGTTTCTGACATACTTTAACAAACGATAGCATTCTGTGGCAAGCTACTTGAGACAGGAAGCTGTCGTTTTCAAGAGTCTAGGTGCTTAAACATTAGGCCCTTTCAGCTGTACTAGTCGAAAGATTGTGCAGGAAAGGAAGAGACCGATGATAAAAATAAAAATGAATGGGTTTTGTGCCAGAAAGTATTCTAGACTTTATTAATGGCTAAAAATGGAATTACATCCGATCAGCAAGAGTTGTGGTTTCAGTTTTTTTTTCGTTCCTTTTTTGTAATTAAGACATTTTGATGGTCACAAAGACAATCTCACATGCACTCTCAATTTCATGTCATGCAATTTATGCATGGGCAAACTATGCTGAGAACTTGTGGGGTGCTATATCAAGTGATCTGGTTGAACACGGTGGTGTTCACACGCACCTTTTTTATATACTAGTATTATTATATAATTTATCTGTTATATTCATATTTTGCTATTCAATCGATTTTCATGAAAATATAACAGGTATTAAATATTTTCCTTTTTTTTTACTCAAATGTATCTTATGTTTTTTTTTATGTGAATATTTATCCGTGTAATTGTAGTATTATGTACCATTTTCCTCGTTTCTGTATCCCTCCAGAATTTTACCACGATTTATTTATCACATTTGTTAATGGACAACGACTACGATTTTGTACAGGACACAGCAGCGTACGAGTATACCTCTTTGAAAAACCTAAATGGGTCCAAAGCGGAAGGATTCTGGGAGGCTCTATCCAGAAAAGCTAAATCTATCATCGACGATGATAATCCAGCGCAGCAGCCCAAAAACCTCACCCAGAATCTGCCGCAGATGATGCTCAAGACACCAACTGCTACCCAGGTGGGAACGAAATCATACGATCTCTACTGTCTCGAAGGAGAAACCTTTGACCATCTAATACATTCAAAAAAAAGAAAATCTATTTCTTTCCTGTTCATGTGGCATGAATCTTTTTTTTCTATTTACAGCTCGATCAGCCCCGTCAGTCACCAGAGAGACACAAAAGGGTGGATAATCCGACGATTCAGAAAAGCCTAGGTGCTCTAACATCTTCCCTTCATTATATCGGCGGCACAATTGGGAATGCCTTGGAAGTAAGATACTCCTCCAATCTCATTTGCTGGGACCTGTGAACTAATATGTGTTGGATCCTCCATTTCATGGAGATCTGGATGCTTGAAAGCTTCTCAAGGTGATTCAATTCCGATTGCTGGCATCCTCAGGAAGGCCTGATGATCGTCGAGAATAAGACCGTGGACATCATCCAGGAGACAAAGAAGCTCAACATAAGAAGGAAGAACAGCGGATCACATGTTCAGAGCTCACTCTTGAACCCCTCTGGTCTTCCTCAGATGCCAGCCGACCATGAAACGCAGCTGAAGGCCTCTCGCGACGTAAGGTGGCAATAACGAATGCATCAGTAGATCTTTTGGCTTCCTCTTTTAGTTATTTTAATAATTTCTCCTGATGAAATATTACTGTTTATAGTATTGGATAAAACCCAATAAAATAGGTTTATTGAGTTGAAGAAAAATACCCCAAATTTGGAAAAATCTTAATTAGTCTCTCTCTCTCTCTCTCTTCCCATCTGAATCCTTGCGCATGCTGTATTTCGGATGACCATGAAACCCAGCTGAAGGCCTCTCATGCATCAGTAGATCTTGTGGTTTCCCCTTTTAGTTATTTTAATAATATATCCTGATGAAATATTACTATTTATAGTATTAGATAAAACCCAATAAAATGGGTTTATTGAGCTGAAGAAAAATACACCCCAAATTAAGAAAAACCTTAACCTTTGGGGCAGCATTCTCCCTAACATCTCGAGATATTTCATCTGTGTCGGGTAACTACAGGTGGCTAATGCAATGGCCGCCAAGGCCAAGCTGCTGCTGCGGGAGCTGAAGACCGTCAAGGCTGAACTGGCGTTTGCCAAGGAGCGAGGTGCCCAGTTGGAGGAGGAGAACAGACTCCTCAGAGAAAGTCGTGTGAAGGGCCACCACCACCCCGAGGAAGACGAAGACCTGGTAATGTGCTGGTTCCGGGTTCGGCGCGGAATCTCACGGGCTTTTATATGAATCGGCCCGAAATTGATCTGACGGACCCATGCCCGCTTTCTCCTCAGATCCGATTGCAGCTGGAGACGCTGCTGGCGGAGAAGGCCCGGCTGGCGCAGGAGAACTCCGTCTACGCCCGCGAGAATCGATTCCTGAGGGAGATTGTGGAGTACCACCAGCTCACCATGCAGGACCTCGTCTCCTTCAACGATGATGACGACCACCTCTTCCTCTCCTCCACCGCCGCCGCCGCCGCTGGGTCTCCTTCTTCCCCAGGTGCGTCCTCCCCATGACTTCTCTCTGTCTCTGTCTCTCTCTCTCTACCGCCGTGGGTCTTCGTCAGTTTGTTATTTCTCTCTCCTCTCTCTAGGGGAGGAAGGGGGTGGTGGTTTTACAGAAGAAATGCGTCGCCTGGTTGGTATGCGTCCATAGGCAGATATGCTTTGCATTGTGGCCATATGATTAAATTGCTTCATTCATATCTGTGTGAATATATAGATGTATATGTGGAGGCCCCTGATGAGAGAGCCAGAGAGAGAAAGAGAGAGTAGTTTTCATGTGGGTGAATGGGGGATCGACAAGTGGCAGGCGAAGGTGGGTTCTGGCCCAGGGCCAGTGTAGCTGTCTGGGCCCAGCCCGACGAAGTTATCCACGGGCCCCAGACCGGATTTGTGTGTGTGTGTGTGTGTGTGTGTGTGTGAGAGAGAGAGAGAGAGAGAGAGAGAGAGAGAGAGAGTAATGATAGGATGGATAATCGGCAAAAAATGGGTTATGATGGGCCGAGTCTCTTTCTAGGTAGGCCTTTTGTGGGAAGATGAAACCCTGGTTTTTATCTCATGTGGTGGCTCACGACGATCAATGACGTAGTACATCTCTCTCTCTCTCTCTCTCTCTCTCTCTCTCTCTCGGTGTCTGTCTCTCGCTCTCTATCTAACCCTTTATTCATCTCTCTTTCTCAGTCTGGCCCTTTATTCCTTTGCCCGTTTATTCCTCCCTCCTCAGTCAGTCAACGTGTCACTTTAATCTGTGTGTGTGTGTGTGTGTGTCTCTCTCTCTCTCTCTCTCTCTCGATCTCTTTCTCTCTCATCTATCTATTTTTTTGTCAATGCAAAGAGGTCATAAAAAATTGAAAATATAAAAAATTATGTATAATGCATTAATTTAGATTTGACAAATGAGATACTTAAAAAAGGAAAAAAGGACCCCCCGTTTAAAATTATATATATTTTAGTTATTCTCTTTACTATAAAAATGATGTGAAAGGAACAACATTTTCATAGGACCTTGTCCAAAAACAGTATGTTTGACTAAGATAGCCCTCTGTCACGTGGGAGCATCTGAGCGGTCGATTCCGAACCGATTGAAGGGTAATCGATGGGGCTATTCTAGGTATTTCACCATATCGGAACATCGAGAAACGGATAATTCCCGCAGATTCTCGGGTGTTTGACAACTGTTCTCTCTCTCTAAACCCAACAAAACCCAGTCTGCTCCGTTCCAGACGAGAAGAATCAGTGGAAATCGGCTAAGAATAGGAAGATCGAGTTCGATAAATTGTTGGAGAGGAGAGGTTTCTTCTCGGCAGGGGCTCGAGATCTCGCGATCCTTGTCGCTGGTGCCGCTGGGGATCTGAATCGGAAGGAACATGGGGGACAAGGCGCCGCCGCTGTCGCCGGAGGCTGCCGCCGCCATGGCGGCGGCGACGGCCGTGCAGCCATCATCGCCCCGCTTCTTCCCCCCCTCGCCGGCGGCGGGGAAGCACCGTCGGATCGCGATCGCCGTGGATCTGAGCGATGAGAGCGCCTATGCTGTCAGGTGGGCTGTGCAGAACTACCTCCGCCCGGGGGACTCCGTCGTCCTCCTCCATGTGAGCCCCACGAGCGTGCTCTACGGCGCCGACTGGGGCTCCGTCGACCTCTCGGTGTCGGCCCGCGCCGCCGCGGATGAGGGATCCGAGGAGTCGCAGCGGAAGCTGGAGGATGACTTCGATGCCTTGACCACCACTAAGGCACAAGACCTGGCGCTGCCGCTGCTGGAGGCGCAGATTCCGTTCAAGATCCACATCGTTAAGGATCACGACATGAAGGAGAGGCTGTGCCTCGAGATCGAGCGCCTCGGTCCGAGCGCGGTGATCATGGGATCGAGGGGATTTGGCGCCTCGCGGAGAACCATTAAAGGCAGACTGGGGAGCGTCAGCGACTACTGTGTCCACCATTGCGTCTCTCCCGTTGTGGTTGTCCGCTATCCGGAAGACAAGGATGGCGGCGGAGTGGTTTCTGTTTCTGTCGCGGAGCCGGAAGATGGTAGCGGCGCGGAGGATAACGCGGCGGTGTAGGAGCAGGAACACCATGACGCATCCGACGACAAGAAAGGTGAGATTATGTTCCGCGTCTGAGATGAACTTTTGAAAAAAATAAATTCCGTTTAAATTCCCTCCCTGCATCGCTCGATATTTGCATCCCCAAAACAATGATCAAGGATGCTAACTCGCGTCTTCTCCCTCGTCTTCCTGAATCTGTTATGGGTTTTGGAATTCCCCAACACTGAGGGAACAGTGTGCTTGGGGTTTTTCCTCTGTAGAACTACCGGATCTTGGTTTCCATGCCTTGGGATCGTCACCTTCTATTCAGCTTCATGTTCTTCATTATCCTGGATGATTACTTGCTGTCTCATCGGTCAACTTTTAGAAGGCCGTTTATTCTTGAAATCCATCATATAACATTTCAAGTTGCTCAAGCTGCTTTGAAATCATGATTTTGTGTTTTCTTTTATCTATTGATACTGTTTGAAATGTTCTTCCTGTTATGAATATTGGATTTCGAGAGGATTTCCTATTCTAAATCATTTGAACATATTTCTATTTCTCATGAAAGCAAAAAGAATTGATGTCATGAACCCACATCATTTCGCCTAAGTCTGCTTTGAAGATCATGATTCTATTTTTGGTCTTCTATCCATTGACGCTGTTTGAAATGTTCTTCCTGTTATGAACCTTTGATTTCGAGCAGATTTCCTATCGTAAATCAGTTAGATAGATTTTTTATTTCTCATGGAAGGCAAAAAGAATTGACGTCAGGAATCCAGCTCATTTCGCTTCAAAAGGTTATTCCTTGGTGAGGGTCATGGTAATGGTAACGAGTCAGATACCACCATGTCTCATCCCTGACGGAATAGAATACTAAGAACATGAACAAATCGTAGACAATATTCAAAGGTAAATTTCATGAGTTCTCTGAATTATCATCTTTGACAGTTGATTGGAGTCTCCCGACTGAAACCAATCACGGTTACGGTCTGAACAAGACTTCTCCGTTGGCCGCATCTACCTTTTTCTGGCACTGGACCTACTCTCAGTCGGAACTTGATTGAGGGAGTCCACATATGACACAAATGGATTCCCACAATTAGCAAAAACTTTTGCAGCTATAATATCACACTCAACCTTCATGTTTTTTGCCGGTTTCTTCAAGTCATATGCAACACAATGAATCTGGTTCATTGCAATGTCTGAATCAGAGTCCGCTGACTCGGATGGATGGCATTCGTGTTTTTACCTTTTTGCTTGACGTTTGCAGCACAATGGATCCGGTTCATTGCGATGTCTGAATCAGAGCCTGCTGACTAGGATGGATCCAGATGCCAGGCCATATCCTCCATCTTTATGTACACTAATCTCTTGAACCATGATATTTCCATATCAAGCCAAAGCCTCATTGGGAGACTTTGGAACAAAACCTGAAATGGATGATATGGGATTCGCAATCAATTGAGATGCTCCGTGCCATGGTTTTTGGTTTCCAAGTTTCAACTTCTCTCCCCCTCGAGGTCTCATAAGTTTCTTTTTTTGGGGTGTGAGCAGATAGAGAGGGGCGACCCTGGGTGAGAGGAGGGTGTGCTGTCTGAGAGAATTCGCTTGATTTTGCTGTCTTAATCTTAGTTTCATGCATATATAGTTTCTGTAAATCAAAGTCTCAGGATTTTTCTTCTGATTTGGGTGGCGGCATTATAGGTTGTTTGCCTCGTTGTGAGCTCCAATGGTGAATGCTGCATCAATGAGCTCTACTTGATATTATAAGATAGCTAAAACCAATGTCAGCCAGGTGGACCCTGTTCTCCCAGCTAGACGGCATATAATGTCGCAAGTGCTCTTTCAGCATCCCATTAACGTGCTCTGTCTAGCCTCGGGCATTATCATACCTAACGCCTGGTGAGACCGACCCAAGTTTCCTGTTTCGGAAAGTGGGAATTTATTTCCAGAAAATGATCTTATTATCTGTGGGTTTGAGCCACTTGGCAGAACCAATATGCTTGGAATATTCCCAAACCAGAACCAATATGCTTTCTATGACATTTTTATCAGTCGGATCTCTCTGTTTCTTCAGTCTCTGAGTCCTAATTTTGACAACGATCCTTATCACCACATGCATGATTCATAGAGGTTCTTGAGCAGATTTTCTGCTCTCTCTCTCTCTCTCTCTCTCTCTCTCCCTTTTTCTGGTGGTAACAACGGAACCTATATGGGTTTTGTTTTTCGGATAATTTTCCTATTTGTGGTGCCAGAGATCAGGCTCTCGGTATATATCCTAAAAAACTCTGCACTGCTTGGTATGATCTCTAGGTCGAGCATGACTTTGCCGATGATCATCTGCTCATGAGGGTTGGTTTTTATGGGCAGATGATCGGTCAGATGTTTATCCGAAAATGGGACAGCTTGATTAAATGTGGTTATTTTTCTCCTTTCCTTGGTGTGCAGATCAGAAATCTACAGATCAGCTACGGAATATTGTCCCCTCCCCCTTTTCGGTGGGGAATTCGCTGGAGCTTCCAGACCTGTCAGTTGTTGTGGTTTCTTGTCGGGGCTCCTCTTGGCTGTCCTTCGTTGCTGAGAACCTTCTGACATTTACCCCTCTCTCTCTCTCTCTCTCTCTTGACTGTCTTCATTTCTTGGTGAGAACATTCTTCCCATTAGTGGTCTCTCTGTCTGTCTGTCTTGTTTGGCTTGAATCTCTATGCTTCTCTCTCTAGCTTAAGACGACACTCAGCGCTAGGAATGAAACCAGTGAAGAACACAGTGTACCATAACAACGTACGATCATCGTCCCCAAAACCCACTCCCACATCGAGAGAGTGAGAGAGAGAGAGAGAGAGAGAGAGAGAGAAGGGAAGCTTAGAGGGCGCCCTCGCTCCGGATTCTACGAAGGGGATTGATGGGGCGCAGGCCGCTGAGCAGCCTCCCGCCGATCCCCGGCACGCCGCTGATCCCCTTCGATCCCCCATGCGGCTTCGGCGGAGCCGCTGCCGCCGTCCCACGGCTCCCCCGCCACCGGCCCCCCGCCGTCCCCGCGGAAGCCTTGAGAGGTCCGCTGGAGGCGGTGGCACCCCTCCGGGCGGCGGCGGTGGGGCGGCGGTGGTCCGATCTGACGCCGCCGCGGTCGCTGAGGGCCGCGGCGGCGGCACGATCGGCGAGATCCTTGGAGGAAACGGCCCTCACGGCGTGCCTGTTGAAGTAGACGAGGCGCGGGAGGAGGCCGAGGATGTGGCGGCGGAGCTGCTCCTCGCCGACGTTCCTCTGCGCCGGGTTCCCATCGAGATTGACGGCCTGCAGGGAGGCGTAGTTGGCGGCTAGCTGGCCGAGCGACTTGGCCGTGGAGATCTTGTTACCCCGCAGGTCGAGGACGCTCAGCTTCAGCAGCCGGTGGAGCCCCTCCACCTCCCCGATCTTGTTCCCGCCGAGGTACAGCTCCTTGAGTGACGAGCACCCCGCCAGCCCTGCCATGCATAAACAGATAGAACAATCAATGAGCACAGGCGTTTTTCTCAAATTCATTCAGATTGGGGGAGGGATTCTGATGCTCCTGAATTAGTAGATCAGTGTGGTGTTTGTTAACATTTAGAACAAAAGGTGGGTAATTGGTTGATACATTTCTGGATGAATTTTCAGTTTTTTTTCATTGAACAAGTAAGAATGAGATTCATGTTCACTAAGAACTTGAATAAAAGTAATAAATCAGACTAACTATGCATACTGAATGAAAAAAATTAAATTACCCAGATATTAATTAAGATTTCTTGAGGCAGCGAACAACATATATGCTCAGTAATAAATAAAAATAGATATTAATTATGATTTGAAGAGCTTAATGAACTTCAATGAGGATCATAACAATTATCCCCAATAAAAGTTTTAAAAAGCGAGCACCATTGAGACCAAGCAAATATCTCGAATATTCTTCTTTTTAAAAAAGAAAAATCAGATATTAACCGAGAACATCAAACTGACAATGGCGGAGGACTCTCACCATGTCCGATCCTCAGGATTCGATTGTAGCTCAGGTCAAGAACACGGAGGCGGGTCAGCTCCCGGAGACCTTCAATGGCTGAGATATTGTTCCTGGAGAGATTCAGCACGTGAAGGCCCCTTGGAAGGGCTCCCGAGGTCATCCTCACTGGAGAAAAATAGCAAAAGAAGAAGAAAAAAAAGAGCTGCTATTAGATCACCATCAGTCAGAGCTGTTAAATATATACACCCCATATTTTATAAGAAGTAATTAATCCTCATGAGAGATGATCGATCGATGTTCCATACCAATTGCATTGCCGGAGAGATCAAGAACCCTCAAACTGGTGAAGGCACCGAGAAATGGGATCACCACCAGCCCGAGATTCATCATCTGAGCCGAGGTCGAAGACGGGGCCAGGGCGGAGATATACCGGTGAGCCACCTCTGCACCGCCAATGCTGCCACCGCTACTGCCTCTGGGGTTTGGTCTGGTGGAATCCCTCCTCTCCTTGGGCTCAGAAGAGCGCTCCTCCAGCTCTTCCACAAAGCCGGCATCTTCAATGTCAATCTGACGGACCCACTCCTCGATCCTCCTCATATTCTGGATATGGCCCCCATCGGCGGCACCGCCATTGAACCCACCATCTTCCATGAAAACCTCGTCTCTATCAGGCCCTTCTCCGAATTCCATAAACATTCCTCCAGAATCTCCCACGGGGCCCAATGAAGCTGCCTCAAAAGGGTTAAATGGGATCTCAAACTGGATCCCTTCCTCCATAGAGCGCAAGTCCTTTGCCGATCGTGACCGGGAAGGCCGAGGGGAGGAAGATCCGCAGGCTGCCAAATTGGGTAAGGATCGCACCTTTGGGAGAGTCCTTGGGCCTAATCCAGCTGCCAGATGATCAGTAGATGCCTTCCTGCCATCATCTTCAGAGTACCCACCACCACCAAAGAAGGTGGCGCTGTTTGGCTGAGAATTATCTCCCTGGCTCTGATTCTGATTTGCCGTGATTCCAAAGGCCTCATCATGGAGGAGTTCTTCTCCAGGGATTGACCCTTGATCGGGTCCTTCATCTGGGTCCAGAAAAGGGAATCCTCCCTCTCGGCCCAGCTCGCTCCACACTGAGTGGCTCTTCTTAAGGCCTGGGCTCTGAGGAACCCCGATCGAGCCCGATTCCTCCACCTCCCAAGAACACCCAAGTTGAGAGGGCTTCATAATCTCCCAGTCTCTTGAGTCCAGAGAACTATTTGACATAAAAGAAGCTATAATGCCAGAGTTCTTAGAGAGAAAGAGGTAGGGGTGTATTTAGCCGTGGTCAAGAGAGAAACCCTTGAGGAGAAGGCATATATGCTGGTTATGGCAAGGCCGTGCCCAGAGTGGCGGCTGGGGTCCTGTCGACCCTGCTGGGTAGTTTCCCCACACCCACTTGGAGCGGTGAGATGGGGGAGGTCCCCTTGAAGGGGCCAGAGTGGAAATAAAAACCTAACCCAAGTTGGGGTACAAATGGAGCTGCAAGGATTCCACACCAACAACAACAACAAAAACAGTCATAATTGAATTGAAATAAGGTATTGTAGATATTTCAACACGATAGAGAATTTCTATGAAAATATTTTGTAAAAACCAGTCGACTTTGGCTCATCACCCAATTTCAAAGATTTCAGTGTTGAAGGGGGAGGATTTTTGAAGAAAGTATCTCTCCAATGATGGAGAGATTATGCAAAGTCTCAGCAACTTAGACCGAAAAATTGAAATTTGCAAGTGTTTCAGAGTTCTTGAGGATTTTTCAGGAAAATGCTTTTGCGATGCTGGAAATCATCGGCAAATACTCATCAACTTTGTCTTGGCACCCAAACATCGGCATAAAAAACTGAATTTAAGTATTCCAGTGTTCTTGAGGATTTTGCAAAAAAAGTTCATGCGTAATATAAACAAGAAAAATTAAACAAAGACCCCACCGCCTTACACTCAACAGGCTTGTGTTCAGTTGACGCCAGGAAATAATTGTGTTTGTGAGATTTTTCCTTGTAGCTTTAGCGAGAATAAACTCAACGGCAGACTCTTCAACCAAGAGAGAGGAAGACTGGTGGGATAAGACACCTCATGAGCTAATTATAATCCGCGTTCATCAGGAGACGCTACAAAATGGAATTTCACATCTCACTACTTCACCTCTAGTTCTGATTCTCCCTCCCTTTCCCTCTCTTTCCCTTCTGGGACTCACAGAGCCCAAGTCTATTTGTTTACTAGGATAAACCAAGGGCTTTGTCTGATGCAACTCCCCCTCTCTCTCTCTCTCTCTCTCTCTCTCTCTCTCTAATATCTGGGTTCCAAGATGGATTTAGAAAACATGTAGATTCGACTCATAGGAGTTTGAATGTGCATCAACCGAAAACTGATACATGACCAGTAACTGTCTCGAGAACTGATTCCACAAGTTTTACCCAGCCATCCAATTTCAGACTCCGTGAAACAGGAAATCACAGATAAAAAGGATAATACGGCTAAATCATCTTACCTAACGTGAGAAAAGTTGTTCCATAGATCGGAACGTCTTCATTCCTCCCGAAGAAAGATGAATCATCTAGCTGGGCTGATCAAAGCTAGTCGGTCGAAGCCGGGCCAAAAACCTGGCATACAGGACCAGAGAGAGAAAAAATTGAGCCGAAACTGACAGAGAAGGAAGGGGAAAGGTTAACGGGCCGCCGGGAAAGGAACCAGAATCCGAAAGAACGCGATGAAACGGAGAAAAGGTACCACGAACTTAGGAAGGAAGGATACTGTGAACCGGGAAGGTAACGAGGCCCTGGAGATCGAGGAGCAGCTCACCTTCCCCACCGCGGGGATCTGATCAGGAGTCACCAGAATCCGCCCTAGCACCTTGTTTCGCCGCCGCTGCGAAGCGGATGAAGACGGAGAGGAGAAGACCACGGCAACCGAATCATTTCCTCTCCATTTTCTATTTTTTCCTGGAGACCATGGCGGGCGACCGACCGCTATTTATAGGGCGGTTGGCATAGAGAGATAGAGATAGATAGAGAGAGAGAGAGAGAGTTAGAGATTGATAGAGCGAGAGCGAGCGAGAGAGAGAGATCGCCTGATGGGCCAGGTCGTTATTAAAGGGTCAATGCCTCATGAGCAGACTGGACACTCGACCCTCCTACTCTGAAAGGAACATTAACAATAAAACCCAAAAATAATATTTTAATTACAGAAACCTTATCAATAAGTTTAATTTAAAATTCACCCTTTTTGTCTTTCACTCCCATGAAACCCCACTAGACGTTAATGATTCGAGATGACACCAAATTTTACCTTCCTCCCGCTTTCTACATCACATAAATTTAAATATTTTTATTTAAAACCTTACTACTTTAAAATTAAATAACGCATTATTTTATTATTTTTGGACCCGTTCTATATATGAGCCTAATGAAAAGCCCAATAATTTTAATCTTGGTCGGAGAGGGAGAGAGAGAGAGAGAGAGAGAATGGAGTACAAAGACCGATTTAGCAAGAGGTCAACATAATTTTGGGTTGACCTCCTGCTGAAGGCTGAACGGGAGGATTTGAAGGTATTATTGGCCCATTATTTCAGCAGCCCATTTTATTATTTTAAACATTATTTTTCAAAATTAAATAACGCATTATTTCATTATTTTTAGACCTATATTTGAGCCTAATGAAAAGCCGAATAATTGTAATCTTGGCCGGGAGAGAGAGAGAGAGAGAGAGAGAGACCGATTTAGAAAAGAGGTCAACGCAATTTTGGGTTGACATCCTGGTGAAGGCTGAAGGGGAGCATTTGAGGGTATTAATGGGCCATTATTTGAACAGCCCATTTGGCCCAATCCGATCCCACCAACCGGGGTGGGAGGCCCAAAATTGGACTGATTTGTCATGAAACTCGTGAATTATTGGGCCGGGCCCATTTATTACAAAGGCCCACTATGAGCCCATGTGTCATTTACAGAAACCTAAACCCAAGGCCTTAGAATTCACGGAAAAAAAATCATTTGACACACATATACTAGATCCAGGTTGCCTTTCGGGCCTGAAAAAGGAGCTCCTATTAGGATAAATCTGGCATGGAAGATGGAAAAAACAGAGTTTCATGCCTGGCCCATGCGATCAAACCGGCACATTCTACATATTTTTTCTTCTCCCAGATTTTGCTTCTAAATTAGGAAATATCCAACTCTCTCTCTCTCCTCAGTCCTCCAGCTGATCATCATCTTCAGCCTTCCTTCCTCCCAAAGAGCTTGACAGGGGATGGGGGCTTGGGCTTTGGCTTCCCATCTGCCCTAATTGCGGTATCACCATCATCTCTGGTGATGATCCGCAGAGGGTGGGCTTCGGTGTTGAAGACCCACTCGTCGAAGGAGATCACCGAAGGAGGGGAGAAGAGGAGGTAGAGATACTTGAGGGTCTCGGCGAGGAAGAAGCTCTGCATCTTGTTGTCCTTTGCCCCCGAGTTGACCTAAAAATGGGGAACAGAGGATCGGGCAGGGAGAAGGATCAGCCAAGAACCTGGAGGCATAATACGAATTTTACCATATGTAGGCATAGATGATCAAATAATAAAAGAACCGACTGAGAAACCAGAAGGATGCACTTTACAACAGTCTTTTCGGATGCAAATTCTTGATTTAATAATATTTTAAATCAAAACCAAAGAACAACCTGCTCATCTTGCAATCAGAAAAAAAATGGGGATTCCCTCTCTACGACTTGAAAAGTGGCCGCTCCAATAAATGGGCAGATCCTCCATAAAAACTAGGAAGATGTACTGTAATGCAGTTTTTTTTTTGCACAAAAACCCTTGGCTGAAACATAGTTCACATCAAAACCGAAGGAAAGTCATTTATCTTGCAACTGGAAGAATGTAATATTCTCTCTCTAGGACTTGGTTGGAAAGTGGCAGTTCAGTGAGTAGATTTCCCCTTAGAATCTAGGGAGATGGGCTTTGATAAGAGTTTTTAGCAGACTAACAGCCGATTTAAACATATTTTGAATCAATAGAAAAAGGAAAACCTACTAGTCTTGGGAAGATCAACAAGAGAGGATCATGAGCCCAGCAAGAAGTATAAGACAATTTATGTGAGATGCATGAGAAGGGCTGCAAAGGAGACTTACGTCCTTTAAACCAACGTAGCCAGAATCGATGCGAGAGTTCCTCTCAAATGCTTGGAATATGTTCCATCCCCACTCTTGATACGTTTTGTTCCCAGTAAACCGCCACAGGTACATGAGCGACTCCACAGTCTCAGGTCTCAAAATGTTCCACGCTGTACCCACATTCATATCCTGGAATGGAATTTCTTAACTTTTTTGTGGGAATTAGAAGAGAGAGAGAGAGAGAGAGAGAGAGAGAGAGAGAGAGAGAGAGAGAGAGAGAGGGAGGGCACAAGAATATAGGAAAAAGAAAAAAAAAAAAAAATTTCTAGGGAAGTTGTGTATCACACCTCCCCAGCTCGGAAAAAGTAGTTCTCTCCAGCCAGTTTTGTGGGGGTCAACTGGTAAAAGTTGTAGCAAGTTGAAGCAAGCTGCACATGAAGATATTTCTTTTCTTAGAAATAGAAGAGAATTCACGGATATATGGTTAATTAAAATAACAAAACTAGTGTTATTTGACGTTACAGGAAGAAAGAAAATAAATCTGGAAAGATTCAGAATCAATGTGCGAGCATCAAGATTTTATAGAATCCGAAGACTACAGCACTGAGACTCAGTTTGAGTGTATTCTTAAATAGACTAAGTTTATATGATCAAGAGAGGCACAGTCATCTTGTTAGTTTACTAATATTGTTCAAGTAGAAACCAAAATTTTGGACTACCGATTTAATGCCTTACAAGTCAATGAGACGAAAAACAAAACCCCAGAGTCAAAGGTCAACTATACGGCACGGAAAGATTTTCTGGCCTATGATTTCTGTCTATGAAATATGGGGATACAATTTAATATATAACACCTTTTATGATCCTTCAAAGAAGGTTTTACGCTTATAATTTATGAAGCACAATAAATTAACTCATGTAATTTATAATTTTTTATAAACAATTTTCTAAGAACATCTAAGAAGGTTTTATAATTTTAAGGCCAAAAGATTCTAAGAACTTCTTCAGTAGAAAGATCATGAATGGGCATGTATACCCAACAAGAGTACCTCTTCTGCAAGGGATAGAATTTTCGCGGCTTTCTCTGGACCATAACCAGACGATCCTAGCGCTAGCATCCCAGGAGCGAAGCATGCCAGTTCATCCATCTGCAATTTTAGAGTCAAGGCTCTCAGACAGTCAAACGCCAGAGTGCAACTACGCATGCAAAGAGAGAAAGCTACCTTATCCGAAAGAGAATTCCCACTTTTCTCGCAGATGTAGGAGAAAGAAGATGGCGTTGTCTTGCGAACCAAACTTTGAAGGCCCTCCATTGACGTCTCCCACATTTCTCTGTTTTTGCACATAAAAGTTCGGAGAAATATGGAGCAAGTAATTTAAATCGCTACTCATCGGTTTGATCATCACAATCAACAAAGGGAATGACGGATACCAAAGAATTTTTTTTGAAACGAACAAAAGCAATAGTTCTGAGAAAGTGGGGAATGACCAGAACTCAGACCTATAATGCTTCACGGCTTCAGTTTTATTCCCTTGTATCCACACTTTAAGCAAGTACTCATAAAAGCTGCAAAATATGAGTCCCATTGAGTCGATTTCAGCCTTGCGGGATAACAAATTAATACAATGTTGTTGTCAATATAGTTTTCATAGGTTATCATCGGAATTAACTGTGATTATAACATAAAGATGGGGCCCACTCAACTCATAGCCAATTGGTTTTGTTATCCTCTTAAAAAGGGAAAAATAAAAAATGTGTTCCTAACCGAGTCAAACCAGCTGCTATTTAAAGTTCCAAGATAGTTGGGATGGGCATTACTGAAATCTGATATAGGGGATAATCAGATGCTATACAAAAGTTATAAAATTGAAATGCAATAGTGATTATCTGCAAAGTATTAAATATTAACTTTTGCAAAAAATAATTCCAAAGGCAATGAATGACGTGAATAAATCTAAAATAGGAAGAGTTATGATGAAGCAAAAAAAAAAATATGACCTATCACCCATTGCGCCAAAAGTGACTGTTGCATGATAGGATGGCTTCCCGGAATGAGGGTTAATATATATCGGCAGCAGACCATCACTGGGGTACACTTTCTGGATTTCTTTAATTACTCTCTCCACCTAAACAGAGAAACAAGAAGCATTCAGTTTAGGATCCCAAAGCTTTCGCTAATTGCAACATTGAAGAAAGTACTATAATTTATTATTTAAAGGATGTGAATGAAAGTAAAAGCCCATTTAGGATGTAAAAGGATATACATATCTAGATATAGATATTTTTAGCGACCCATGATTTAAATGGAAACATAAACATCGAGTGGAGAAAAAGGTGGCATACATGAAGGATACGACAACCGATTATAAATCGGAATCCAAATTAAAACAGTTTCAATTATTTGGTTTTAATGAGTAAGGGATATCAACAAAAACTGATTCTATACGTATCACTCTTATTTTTGATATATATATATATATATATTTATGCATATACTGACGGGAATAAATGTTTAGGTGCCCACTTTCCACTAAGTGAAAGAAGAGATTTTTGTTCTATTATTGACAGAAAATGCGGGATGCTTTTTTGTCTTTTTGTTAATGCACTATTTCATAACATCTGGTGCCTGAGATCAATTACTAACTAATTCTAAAGATCTAAATATTTCGCAGGATTCCACATGAATCACGAATTTTTCAAAGCATATGCTTTAAAATATATTTTAAAAAACTATAGAAATAAATTGAAGGTAATAACTTGAAATCTAATTGACTAGAGAATATGTTGGTAAGACAATATAGTTCCAAAAATAATTAGAAGAATAAAACCCATTTTGCCTGATCAACGGTAGAGGGCTTGGAACCACATGCCATGAAGGTTTAAGTTTTCTTCATCATCCCTGAAGAAACGATACCTCTCCTTAGTGTCTTTACTGTATAACTATTTCTTTTTTACCCCTTTTGAACCACACTGCAAAAGTTCATCAGGTTACTTATTTTTATGGTACTTCCCCGACCTCAGAATTTGCGATTTGCTGCAATGCGTGTTCTACCCTTATTTCGTGAGATATTTAATCATTTAGCAGATTAAAAAAAGTTGGCAAGGCCTGAAGCACCAGGGATGCCAATTATTCGGACCTAGGGCCTTCGATTTATGAAACAATCAGGAACTACCGACACGACGCTTTGGCTACCTTCTGACTTGGACATGCTTTTCTACTCCAAGCAAGAATGGGAGAAAAATACTTGTAGTAACTGAATCACTCTTAGTAACATACAAATAACAAAACTATCGGAAAAAATGTTATCAAAGAAACTGGAATAAAAATAGTAAGCGTCATTTCTACACCAGCGTCGAGTGAAACTACCTTCTGCTGATACTTAGGGTCACCTGTCCTCTGGGATAAAGCAATAAATTCGAGCTGCTCGGTGCCCGAATCTGCTAAGATACTATCGCCCTGGTAGAATAAATGCAAAGCTTGTGAACTTCTTATATAGAAAAACAAGTATGATGGATCTTTTTATCTAACTGAAAATCTGCGGAATTTGTATTTACGAATTTCTCCAAACATATTCCATTTGGAGCCAAGGGCATCAGATACGACATTACAGGCATGCATAGCAAGAAATAATAATAAGTATCTGTTTTTCATTTGTGCAAGTTTTACAGATTTTCTTCAAAATCAGCAATCTACCTTTTTGCTGACAACTCTCTTTACTGTCATGTATTAATATTATTCAAAAAGTTCCTAAGATTGCATTTTACTTTTTCTTAGAAATCCAAGGAGACATCCAGTTTTATTGTATCCCAGTTAAATAAGGATAAACAGCGTGGGCTTCATATTATTCTTGTCTACTACCTGGGATCTTAGGTTTTCTGCTGCCCACAATCCAAGCCCCTCACAAAATGACATTTCAGTGAAGCCTGTCGGTTTGGAATTTTCCAATATAATATTTAGTGTACTCAAGAAGAGAATCAATGTATGATTGATTGCAAATACACCTCTGATAAATTGAACATGACCAGGTGAAGGAATGTTTTTGCATGATGAACCATTGATTGACTAGAATTTCAAGTACTGTCTTATGGCCATTAATTGAAATGTGAGTGGACGATGAAAATCTGGGGAAAGAGAACAATAAAGAACCTTTGGATGTTGCAATCACCATGATGTCTTAGATACCAACTAGGACATGACATACGTGGGACATCATCAATGAGACATACAAGACAATAAGGGAACACAACTTGGAAAAGCGTGTTTAAATAAATCTGTTTGAAGAACTTAAGAGAAATCTTCATACATAAAAAGATGGACAAATTCTAATGCATAACTTAGTAGTTGTCAGCAGGATCCCACATAAAGTGACTTGTTTGTCAAATTAAAGTAGTGAAGATTTAAGTGGCTTTCACTAAATGTATAAAAAGTCTGAATTGTGTCCTTTTCTTAAATATGGATTGACTAGTTGGTTTGATGATCCATCATGCCATTCACTCGTTGATCTTGGTTATGTTGGGTACTCAAGAAAGGAAAGGGATGCCTGCTTTGAAGGATTGAATGGGGCAATATAAGTCAGAGTAAGCCCATTTTAGGGAAAGATTGACCAAATGCGAGGAAGAATATTCAAGAAAGTAGATATATCAAAAAACTGATCAGAAAAATAAAAAAAGATAGAATAATTAGATCAGGATTAGGCAAATACACCTACTAGTATAATCAGACTAAATCTGTTCTCAATACATGTAACACTCGATACATGGATTAGAGTACAACAGACATAAATCGATCATCTAACATGCATATTTAAGATCTATTGAGATACTAACCATATCGATTTTAATAGCCTAACCAGAATTTAATAAATCAGAAAGTGATTCTAAGAAAGTAGTTGAATGATTGCTAAATGCTGAAATGATTTACAGTCCAAAGATAGTAATATCAACAAGCAGTTTCGACAGTCAAGCTCTCATACTATTAATGGTTCATGCTCCACTGTTTCAACACATCTTTGCACGTTTTAAGAAGTCAATTAGGTCAATTGACATTAGAGAATAGTCATTGTTGAACGCAACAAGTCCAATGAGAGCACCTATTAAGTGTGTGAAAAAGAACATACCCCTGTCCATCCAAAATTGTGTGGATTGCCACGCGCCAAATTTATACTGTTGTAAGGGATTCCAGACGGTGAATCCCAGGCAGGTAACAGCCTGTTTCCAATATCTTGAGCTTTTGAAAGAAATAGCTTGTCTCCAGAGAGATCATATGCACTCAACAGACCACCAACCACCCTGTAATTAAAGTGCAAAAGATAGGTGTAAGGAAATAGGCATGTGTACTATTGCAACATAATATTCACATAAGAGCCCACCAACTGTTCTTTGATTGAGCTGAAGTACCTAAGAAAAAAAAAAAGCACAAATGCAGTTGTGAGATGCTGATTTAAGATATTTCCGATTTCCATTGCTTTAGAATGTTTCTACTTCTGATATGAATGGGATAAAATACTTGAACATCACACTTATGTTGTCCAAATGAGTAGCATGCTAAGCTAGCCAAATAATTATGCAAATGGTCAAACGGTAAAAAAGATATGTCTCAAGCAAAAGATAACTGCGGTTAAGAAATCATGGTATATAGAACAATTAAAAAACCAAAACCTCACACCACGACCTTATGGTTGTCTCAAAGACACTGGCTTCATAGTCTTTGTTGAAATCCAAGGAGTTCGCAACCCACCTGCCATCAAAAGGTAATAAAACAGAATATCAAATGGAGAACAGTCAAAAAAAGCATTTAGTCGCTTCGGTACTACGATGGATAAGATTGGTGCCACATCTTTTGTGTTCCAAGGAGGATATGGTATTTCCTATTTCAAGTTTTCAACAACTACCCTGTAAAACATAAAGGTTTAAGTAAAGGTAAGATATTAATAGGCATCTGGTAATGACCAAAACCAGAACCGTTTGTAACTACAATAGTTTAGCCCATTTTCGACCGTGAAGCAATTGGTTTCTAAAAGTCATACTTTTACTGAAGGGCATGCATCCAGAAGTTTTACTATCAGCATTTTTACCACTAAAATATTTAGGGAGACATTTATAGATGCATACCATCGTTCTTCCCCCTTCAAATTAAAATATTTACAGGCCAACAGTTTCATATCATAGGAAAACATATTTGAATAAAAATTAATTAATTTATCCATAAAATATACTCATGACTATTGTAAAATCATGGAGAGAAACCTCTGTCCCAGAGGACAGAGGGGAGAACGACAGACCACCTCACTCATTCATTCACTCTTAATGTCCCTTAAATAGGGACGAACCCTGCATACAGATTTCTATGATACCCTTAGTTATTACAATATTACACTTAGATCCTCTAACTATAATATGTGATGTGAAAAAGTTTCCAAGTTTTGATTGTACATAAGGATATATTTGTTCAGCTCTGTCAAAAGGGAATCGATTCAGTTAAGCTATGGCTTCAAATGAATCAATCCCTTCGCAACTAGTTCTCTCTTTTTATTTCTTCCCACAAAAGTTCGGGATAAATGTAGAAAATCAATATCCTACTGACTGGATTTATCTTACAGCAAAATTTTATTCTTCATCCTTTAAATGATCTCACCTTTAAGCTATGCATTCTCCTTGACAGCATGCATGCAAACTTAGGAACACAAACTGGGCATTGGGTGAGATCAGCTCAGAAAGATCCTCATTAGATTCTGGTTCATCTGATCCCCAGTCGAATATGATGAATAAAGAATCGGCCCATTCTGTTCTGACTATAAAATGTTTACAGCAAAAGACAGCTAGGTCTGGTTCCTTTGGACTAGATCAAGGCTACATCCTGGGACATTGGAGAAGTCCAGAAGTAAACTAGATGAATTTTCTAATTCAAGTTCTTCACCATTATGAAGGTAGAGTTGGGGAAACTTTGGTATAAAAGTAGGATAGAATGACATTTTCCTCTATTTTTTAGATTGAAGAGGTCAAATCTGTCAGGATCTGAAGGAATATTTGGTCAGATGGATTGACAACCTCTGTAAGATCGCTCCAAATGCAAAACTCAAGAAGTCTGCAAGGGATCAAGGATGGAGTCTTAAAGTCAGAAGAAATATCACTGAACAAGGAACTGGTGTTTTCATCACATTGAAGCAGGCATCCGACAGCACATATCAACAACTCAATGAAAGAAAAAAGGTTACAGAGAATGGACATGGACCATCGAAAAAGGAAAAGTTTCAGTCGTGTGATAGGCAACAATGAAAAAGGATGGAAGGTTTAAGTAAAATTGTCGCATGGTATAGATGAGATTCCTACCAAGATAAGAACTTTCCTTTGAAAATCGTTTATTGGAAAATTCCTAAATGAAGCTGATTTCTAAAAAATATATATTGCCAAAATAGCATCAGGGATACCTTCAAAAAATTTAATGGAGGAAATTAGAGCATTTCTTTCTCCAAATCTGAAGAGAACTGCACGTTTTTTATCAGAGGCCTGTAATTTAGATTTTTGATGCAACAAGCAAAGGAAAACACTTTTCGATTGTTGCGGCCAAAAAAATTCCATCTCATGAGGTGAATGATTTTCAATGCCTCTGAGATATGATACTTTGAATGTACTGAAGATGAATACTTTACACGGAAATAGAAAAAAATGGGTAAAAAATAGATGAAAATTCAATGGTGGCAGCTTCGGTCATAAACATCTAAGTACAACAACGAAAGAGTAATAAAATAAATTTCAAGAGTCTGACTGTCATCAAAGATATCATCTCCAAAGGAAAGGACCTTATTGATGAAGGGGATACTGTAGCCAATGTTGAGAGTTCCAATATACTTCCCTTTGCCTCCATCTCAAAAAAAAAAGTGAGTAATTTATGTTCGTTACTCTTAGAGATAATTTAGCCTCCAGCTGACTATTGGGATATTTATTTATTTTAAAAATTTTCAGCACGTTTCTTATGCGTGTGTTGTAAATTCGCCTTTCATTAAAACAGCTGCGGTTCATTCCATCATCAGAAAACATACATGAATGAAAAAAATGAAGACCAGTAGGAAATTAAGAAAAAGGCCACCATTTTAGCAACAGAAGACATACTCTCTAGCCTCTTTAAACTGGTCATGAAGGCCCATTATGTACAATGTGTCGAGGGAGTCCACCAGAGTTGCTCCAAGACCACCAAAGCTATTGACACCATTCTTGGTTTGAGGCTGCCCAGAATAACATATATTGATATAAATTATATAATAAAAAGATATGATGCGCCTCAAGGCGTTGACTATAACAGCGATTGATATACATCTCAAGCTCGCAGCTAACCTGGAGTTCATCTTGGCCCCAGGCGTACTTTACATAGGAGCTCCAGGCGTGAAGCATCGCTTCTTTTACCTTCCCTCTACGTTCAGCATCAAGAGGATCGTCATGAAAAGCAATCTTCTTGGGTGATGCATCTAATTTCTCAAGAATGTTCTCACTAACATCCCCTGGACTCCCTGTTAATTGTTGTAGCTATATACATTTGGTAAAGATTAGAGACGTCTCTTCTGACTCTCTCAGATGACACAAAGTCAAGCAATTAAAAGACAACCATGATGGGGACATAAATAGTTACCTGATGGCGTAGTTGAGACAAATCCTCATTTAATTTAGAAATTTCTTCCTGCAAAAAAAAGTGACCCATTAATACCCATTTGTTAAAAAAATCAAGATGAATATCAAAAAGGGACACACACTTGTATGAGTGCACACATGTATATATAAGAATGACGTTGTGTTGTCAAGAAAGAAACTTTTTTCATACACTGGTTCAATGGAGCAAAGTGTAAAGATGTATAGCAATATATCTCTCCACGACAATGTACATATCTCGGATGGTACTAGTCGCCCACAGTTTAACACCAGCGGAAAATATCCTCGAAAATGCTCCTGCGTTCATCTCATCACGAGAGAAAGGTAGAAACCAATGGAGAGGAGACTCGTGAGGCCAGTGGGCGAGCAGAAAGGTATCCTCTTCCTCGCAAAATTAAAGCTCACGTTACTCTCCGGGAAGAAATTTTCCAGTATTTCTGGAAGGTGTGTACGCAAGAATGTGGTGACTTCCCAATCTCGTGCAATTGAAATCTCCGTTAATGACAGATCATGCACGGGTTACCCTTCTCCATCTAATCTCAGAAAAGGCAGAACGCTACATTGGCTCAAATTGACAAGGAAGGATATCAATATCAAGAGATTTGTCCTCCAACGAAAGCGAATCATCAGCACCAACGTGTGCGAGAAAACGACGGCGAGGGGGGGAGAACACACCTTGTGCTCGCGGACGAGGGTCTGCCGATCCCAGACGCCGATGGACACTACGACGAAGGCGATGACGAGGAGAGCCAGCCGCTTGGGGCGCCTCAGGTAGTACGACGGATGGATCCACCTCAACCTGCTCGACGATCTGGTCCGCGCCATCGGATCCGCCGTCCGCCGCCACCGACACGCCCTCAGAAACTGCAGCTCCGATCCCCCCCCTAGCTTCTCCTGGTCGAACTCATCTCCCCTCCCAATGAGATTCCTGATTCCGGAAGAAATCCCCGGAAGAAAGGAGACAGTCAGGACCTTCCAGAGCTCGGTTTCGCCTCCCCACCGATCTGGAATCGCCTTCAAGCTCTAGCTTTCCGAGCAGGTCGTCGCTGACGTCCTACCGACGACCGCCACATAGCGAGAGAGAGAGAGAGAGAGAGAGGACCGTTCGATTGAGGACTGAGAAAACTTCCACCGTGACGACGACCTACCTCGTTGACATCCTCAGAACTCTGGCCATCTCGTGGACCGGCTCTGCCCGGCCCGGCCCGCCGACCCCTGTAAAAATATTTAATTAAAAATTTATTTCCTGAAGATTATTGGTCAGGCAGCCCAAAAGATAAATCCAAATATGAATAAATTTTAAATCTGTAAAAAAAAATATTTAAAGACGGAAGCCTAGTAATCAGGGCAGCCCCGTGTGAGAGAGCCCATGGCCCGTCAGGGAGCCCAATAATTACGTTGATTAGCATAGAAACGTTGGTAGATACTCTCCATATATACTTCTCATGTTTTTTGATTTATACCCTAAATTTTGTTTCTAACTCCTTATCTTTTTTGAATTTTGAAAAAGCTCCCCACTAATTAATTATTGTTAGCACTAAACTCCTCTAACGCACCATTGAGTAGGTAGGGTTTAGGCGGGTTAGATCTTACCACACGAGGAAATGATGTATTTACCCCCTTCTCGTGAAATACGTTAATTTCCCTTTTCAGGTTCGGTTTTATGCTTTATGCTCGTGGGATAGAGAGTGGAGAGAGAGAGAGAGAGAGAGAAAGAGAGAGTTTCTGCTCGTTTGGATCGGCCATGGGAAGGGCGACAGTGGGGGATGGGGATGCTCACCATCACGAGCGGCAGCAGTGGCGGAGAGGGGAGGATGTGGCGGCGCGTGGCAGCAGGGGGGAAGGCGGTCAGGGGATTCGCTCCACAGGGCGGCAGGTGCGGCACCAGAAAGAATCGACGGCCGCGGTATTCGTGGCGCTGGATTACCTGTTCCTCCTGATCTTCTTCGGATTCCTAGGATTTTTCCTGATTCAGATCTGGCGCGGTGCGAGCGGCGGCAGATGATCAATGCGTCCAACCGGTCCGTTTCCCCATTTTTCCTTCGGCATTGTCTGTCCAGGGCTTCTTTCTTGATTTCCCTTTACAATAACGTGCGTTCCACATTCTTGTTCCGAACATTCGGTTATGAATCGAAGCATTACAATGATCTATTCTTAAGGCCGTAAGCCGCATTAAGTAATCACCAGATCCGGAGAAAAATGATCCACAATCATACTCAAGGGATTCCGGACATTGAACGGATTCGACAGCCCCCATGGATTCGCCTCGTGTTCTAGCAGACTCTATGGTTCCTCTTTCCTCTTTGTTTCTGAAGACCTTCCTGACAGTCTAGTAAAATCTCCAGGGCTGCTACCACTGATGAGATTTTCCTTTTCTCGTTCCATCTCGGAGTATCCAGATCTCGGATGCTCAATAACTTTGTTAAATCTGCGCGTCTTCATGAGATCCAGCTTGCTCAAACCTGATGGAAATCCACTGATGAATTCACATTGACGGAATCAGTGAGAATCTGTAGATCTTTGTTCAATCATGCTCGTTCCGACCTGATGGAATCTCTCTGAAACAGGGACAAGCTGCAGAAGATCATGTTCAAGTAGGTTTTCCATAATCTGTTTGCCCATACTCTCTAAACCACGGATTACAAAGCTTCCACGGATTACAAGTAGGAATCTCGTTTGACTGGATCAGGTTTATGGAATAGAAAGTGATATCATAATATGGAATGTATTATATAATTCTGCTCGAGAAAAAGGAGTGGATGGAAGGAGTGTCGGCCGGGCCGGGCCTTCGACCCGTAAATAATAAGATCTACTCAAGGAAGGGATGCATGGAGGGGGTTGGTTGGAGTTCGATCGGGCCGGGCCTCATCAAGCCCGCTCCGAGTCCTGGCCCGACCAACAGTCAGGTACAGAGAGAGACGTATAATAAAAAAAATTCTATTAAAAAAAGTTCTTCTTTCATCAAAACGTCTCATCGTCTGTTCCTCAACTTTGACGTGGCTGCCAAGGCGTGAGCCACGTCACCTGGTTATAGACCGTGTTTTGTCCGTTTCTGGTGCAGCGGGTGACTCCTCCTGGCCCCGGCTTCTGCTGCCTCTGTGTCCGAAGTCCCCGTTTCCTTCTTCCCGCCGGCAGCCGATCCGGCGAGGGAATCCGGCGGGCGGAGAGGAGAGTGACGGCTGTGATTTGGATAGTTGTCCGGCGGAAGTACGGGACGGCTCGGTTACTGTTCGAGTTTAGATCGATCGGACATGGAGGAGTCGAACTCTGCTCGTTCAACGGAGGCCGCCGCCGGCGGCGCCCCCTACGGCGAGGAGGAAGCTCAGAAGAAGGCGGCGTCCAAGAGGAAGAGGAATCCCCCCGGCATGCCAGGTGAGGAGTCGGAGGAGACATGGTTTGGGGATCCGATGAGGTTGTGCTGATATCTTGCCCCTTCTTGGTGTCGCTGTGTTCAGATCCGGATGCGGAGGTGGTAGCTCTGTCGCCGGAGGCGTTGATGGCGACGAACCGATTCGTCTGCGAGATCTGCGGCAAGGGATTCCCGAGGGATCAGAACCTGCAACTCCACCGACGGGAGCACAACCTGCCGTGGAATCTGCGGGGTTCCGGCGACAAGCCGCGCAAGCGGGTCTATGTCTGTCCGGTGCCGACCTGCGTTTACCACAGCCCCGCTAGGGCACTCGGGGACCTCACCGGCGTCAAGAAGCATTTCTTCAGGAAGCACGGAGGGGAGAAGAAGCACGAGTGCGAGCACTGCTCGAAGAAGTACGCCGTTCTCTCGGACTGGCAAGCCCATATGAGGGCGTGCAGCGGGTTCCCCGTGTTCAGGTGGCCGCCACTCCACCGTCGTAGACCTTCTTCTTCTCTCTTTATGTCGATTAACTCTTCCTTTGGGGAATGCAGGAGAAAGCACAAGGAACCTTGCGGAGAATCTGTGAAGGATAGTTCCGAGTTAAACTCGGCTGCAGCGCTGGCGTCAGTTTCTTACGTGGGGACGCTTAATGAGCAGAGGGGGGCAGCTGCTTCGCCTGTGATGAACCCCGTCCTGCAGCTTCAGCAGGTGCCGGCAACCGTGCTGCAGCAGCAACAGCAAGGTCAGCTTGTGTTGGTGGGGTTTTTGCTGTTCTACGACTGTAGTCAACAACCTCAAGGCAGTACAGCGATGGGGTAGCAGATCTTACAGAGTCGCCATAGCCTACGTAGCGAGTTGGCCCACCTTATGTTTTCTCAGGGACAGGATTCCCACTTATGTAGCTGCCAACAATCACCTTCTTCTTTGTCGGTGGTGATGAGGGAGGGTTGCACATATTTTCTCATTGGATCCCCATTTGAGAAGCTTGAAAAATCTCCTTTCTTCGTCAGTGCTTCCAAAGAAGAAGATGGAAGGTTCCATCTGGTTTCTGGTCTTAAAGTGTGATGTAGATTATGCACATGACATTAGGGTTCTCTCTTCATGTGGGAAGAAAGAGCTTCTCTAATCTCTACCTTCATGAGAAAAAGAAAGAAGGGGGAGATGGTGCTTTTCTCCCTGTAATCTTCCCTTTTTCATCGTCTGTCACCAGTTGCGAGGTGATGAGGTTATTTTTGCTATGTACATCAGATGCAAATGCATCTTGATGTATAATTTCTTCTGAGAATGTTTTGCCACTTCTTTTCATTGGATCTTTACTCTTTGAGTTTCCAAATACATGTCTCAGTCGTATGCTCCACTTGTGAGAGTGCTTCAATGAAAGTTATCTATTCCTTCAGAGAATTCATAGAGCTCTTGTTTTCTTAATTAATTTCCTTTTGTATTTTGGGTATATATTTTATTTACTTGAACTATTGTAGTTCCATTTTTCTTCATCCTCTTCTCTTTTTTTTTCCGGTGAAGGTCCTCAGAAATTGGTTGATCTTGTGAAGATGTTCGAACGATAATTATTGTTGCATTTATGCATGTTTTTTTGCCGTGTGAACTTGGGCTTTGTAACGTTTTACTTGAGGATTTTGTAAACTGTCTATCATTATCCTTTAGGCAAGATTATGCAATCTTTTCTTTCAAGAAACCCACTCTCTTATGGAATCAATCGCACATCATGACTTGGATATCTATCGGGTATGAAGAAAAAAAGGTGCCTTGATTTGCGATTGATTATCATCATGGCAGGTTCCTTTCATTAAATTGTTGCTTATTCATAGTTGCGTGCTCATTAAGAGGCCTTAAATACTCGGTGCTCATTTAATACTGAAGGTTCAATTCACATTTAAATTCATGGAGTCACTTGCTGGCGAATTTTATGACAGTATCGTCATATTTGTTGCTATCATCTCCTTGATTTGTAGGTATTTGTTTACTTTCATAGCATATCTTCAATCATAGCAATCCGATGAACAAAGTTGAAACATTCATTGTAAAATGTGTTAATTTGAAATAATCTGAGAATTTCTGTCTATCATTGTCCTCTAGGCAAATGTATATGCAATCTAATCCATCTTCAGTTGGCCTCAAGATATGCTCACCTCTCCCCTTCTCCTAGCTATTAACTGCATGGTAGCAATATCTTCTTTGAGGCCACTGTATTGGGTAAAAATACTCCAAAATTCTGGGACATTTTGGGCTTGCTTGATTACATAACACATCGATGTGTTTCTTTTCTATTTTCCTTCTTCCCTCTTGATCATCTAGTCTCACCCACTATCAACAGATCTGGATTAAAGATCCCCAGTTCACCAGAGTTAAAGTAATACCCTTCAAAATAAAGATGTTCAGTTTTTAACTTACTTGGTGGAATGAGTGGGAAATATGCAATTATTCTATGAACTATCTCTGCTGGATATCATTGTAATCTGCTCAAGATGGCCACTCATTGAAATCGTCTAAGACTTGAAATACTTGGAATGATCTGGGATAATTGATGAATGAGGGGAAGGATTTTGTTACACTCAGAAACCGACCCTTTGACTTTGTTTGATCAAAGTAGATCATGAAGATTCCTTTATATTATCATCAACAGGAGATCAAATGGATATGTCAATACTGAGCATTCCAGCAAAATAGATTCAATTTGATCAATACTCGAAAAATATTTGTGACTATAAAAAAACGCACCAATAAAGTGTGTGACTAATGTCCAAAAAACCTCTATAAAGGTTTCAAAAATGTTAGGCATTTGAATACTATAGTGTTCTTACCAAAAATGGCACAGTAACATTACTTATGTCTTGCAATTCATTTGTCCATGCAATATGGATTTTTCATGAATTTGGCTAATAAATAATGTGAATATAAAACGTAATTAATAATAATCTTCGCCAACTAGCGTACCTCTCATGAATTCATGCCCTAGTTAAGACAATGTAATAGTCATTTTGAAAGAGCTTTATCCATCTATTTGTGCTTCATAAATGACAATTGATTATAACATATTCAGACATTCTAAAAATGTATATAAATAAATATTGGCAAAAAAGCTGCATTTTTTATCAAAACGAATTTAATGACAGATTATCTCATTCTATTTCATGACTAGAGCTGACTCATAAGTTGCCTTACATAGTTACATGAGTTTTAGGTTCATAGTGATAAAGATACTATTTTAGTGTAATATGTTAGTAACTCTTGTCAAAAACCTTTACCCATTGGGATCTCAAAAATTATGTATTTACTTATTTTATAAGTTGTGAGATGAGTTACTTGGTCTTAGAAGTGATCAAATAGGTATAGAAATGACTTGACTCATGAAGAGTGCTTCATTCTTCAATTTTCTAGAAAGTTAGTTGACTCACCTAATAAGATAAGACTCAAGTTTAATTTACTTCTTAGGAAAATGAGTGGCTCATCAAGAAACAACAATCCTTAAATTTTAAGAAAGTGCATTCTAGGGTTAAATGATACATTAAAATTTATAAAAATATATTTTAACTATATTGTCTATTTATTCTTCATGGTTGGTAGACAGTTGTATATATAAAATGTAGATAAGAGGCATGACACTTGAGGAGAAAATAGGAAAGTGACAAAAGCTACAATACCTATGAAAGTTGGGCAACCCCTAGTTATTGGGGGATTATTTTAGAATTTTTAAAATGATTTTTAAATTGTAAAAGATGGAGATAAGTAAAGGTGATACATAAGGATAATTTCCCGAAATACCCAATGTAAGAAAAATTAACATTTTACTCTAACATTTTACACCCCCACACACCTTTTTGTATCTCTTATCTCAGGATGTCACATCATTAGAAGCTTTAAGCTTAAATAGAGTGCATCACAAGGAAGACTAGAACAATCTTATGCAAGTAGGCTTGTTGTAAAGAGAGAGAGAGAGAGAGAGAGAGAGAGAGGGCTTGATTTTTATTTTTTTGGAAATAAGGTTGCACTTAAACCAAGGAGCGGTTTAATTGGTTTGATCTAATTTATTTAATCTTTTATTCTTCTATTTTTCTCTTCTTCTTTCCTAATTCCTCAAGTGGTCAATGATGGATGAAAGAAATTTATAGTGGTTCAGTCTTCTTAACCTACTTCAGTCTCCAAATGCACCCATCCTCAGAGTTCTATTAAGCACTTAGTGTTTTGTCTACTAATTATAAATATTTAGTTCCCATAGTTTCACTCAAAATTTTCTCTAAATTTATGGCTCTATAATGCATAATCACTAATTATATGGATAAACTCCCTTGAGTGATAAATCACGCTTACCACAAATTTAACAATAGAATAATATAAAATATTATGTTGTGTGTGGAGATTCTGGAAAAAGTGTGTTGACAAGTTACTAAAATTTGATGAAGAAGATGGTTGATTTGCTCTTGATTATCCTCTTATTGTGTTGAAGCTCATTGAATGATGAAGTTTCAATAATTTCTGGTTGGGATGAAGCACTTTCTTGATTGAGTTACAGCCCTGAACTTCTTGTTTGTGTAGCTTTGACTTGAAATTCTTTTTGTTTTGATGTATAGCGTTAGTAGAAAACGATAAGAATAGATAGTTGAGATAATCAACTGAATGAACAAGAAAGAGTTTATTTATGAATGAAAGTTTGTTCTAGTCCTTTATTTTTTGCCTCATCAATGTTCTCTTTCTTAATTTAGAAAAAATCCAACTAAAATATCTAATACAATGCTTTATTTCACTCTTTCAAATTTATTTTAGATTTAAACTATTAGTAAAACCTTTAAATCATAACATATGTATGTGCTGATAATAGGTCCAAAAAATCCAAAACTAAATCTATTATACATAATGGTAATGCATGAATATTCATGAAACTAAATTATAATTTAAGATAAAAATAAAATCTAAATAATTTTAGACAAATTATGAGCATAAAATATCACCATTGAGGTATCATATCAGCACATTATGCCACTCATTTGTATCTTTTAGAACTCATAATCATTACTTCAAATTCAAGTAGGAAGAATAGTATACTTCAAAAGTAAAGAATGATTCCATACACAAATTCAATATATATCTTTATTATTAAATCCCCATGATATGAGATTTTGTTCATATCTTCATCCTAGCACTTTAAACTAAATCCATGAGTTATTTTTATATTCAAAATCATTAATTCCAAACCAAGGTATAACTTTTAGTTTTATTTCAAAATGTATAAGCTAGATAAAATAATTATTTTGAGCATATTTTAAACATTTTCACCAATATCAAATCATGAGGATTAAATATCATCTTGTATTTTTATCTAGACATACATGTGATAAGGAAGCTTAGAAAGATATCATAATTAATACTCTAGATATGAGTAATCAAATGTAACTATGATTTTATTATTTGATTATATATGTGGAGATCAATCACCAATATCAAGACTTTTGAAGGCAACACATTTAAGGACTTTTGATACTCTACCCAGCTTACAGTTGTGAATCTATAATAAATTAGTTAGATATGAATCTAGTACACCTTATATTTAGAAGATTTTATTTTAAGAAGTAATTGGGTTGAAAAATGCCAAACAATGAAGTGGAGATTACTTAAGGCCATATGTTCAAAATTTCTGCTAACTTAAGTTAATGGAACCTAAGGATATGATTCTTAAAGAATGGAGGAATCTGGTTGAGCTAAAATATTAGGAATATGGGGTCAAATAATTTTATAGAGATCCAAATTAAATGAGTAATTCGAAAATATTATTTCACCTTCTCATCTCTTGATTTAAACTTTGTCAAGATTTTAGCATTTCTCACAAGACGAGTTTTTTCACCATAGAAAATGAGAGATTGTTTATGATGACTAAAGAGATGGTAAGACATCTGGTAAGGTTGTCTATGATATGTCTATTTAATGATACTAATTTAATGCTCATTGAGGTGGAATTACTACAAGAGAAAATGTTCTCACTAAATCAAGTGATTAGGAGAAAATGATTTTAAGGAATAGATTATGTAATAAACACATGCAGTGAAATACTTGTTGAGAAGGATATCCTATGATTCTAATGCTGTAAATGGTGGATCAAAACTTCAGTATTCAAATTAATATAGATCCTGCATCACTACAATGTATTTAATGACTATTTTAATATAGAAATTGAGGTAGAGACATCTATTAGTGGAGTGAACTAGCTATTGAAACAACTATTTATCAACCTAGCATTGTATACAAAAGCTTATTCTTCACCCAATTTAGGAT